ACACTTGGTCAAAATCCCAGGTCCATGTTGTTACAACACTCTTTACTTAGTCAAATTCCAAACTACCTTTTTATTTACCAACACTCTTACAACATGATTTACAACTCCATTTTGTGGGTAATTTGACACTTTACATCTTTGACGCTTTTACAAGTCTCCTTTACAAGTCAGATTGTTTTCTTACTCATCAACTTTTGCAAGGCACCCTCATCCACTTCAGACTCACCAAAATAAAGACAACAGTGTGGCAAACACAAATTTATAATTTTATTACATTTTCAACCTCACTCTGCATGGCGTCTGTATTACAAGTTCAACTTCATTTTGCATTAAGTTTTTCTTAACTTTACTCTGTATCCAGTTTTTCTTACATTTCCAGGTACATAAGAAAAAACAATGGAATGAAAACACAACTCCAATTTTATTTATTCACAAACTTGTACATAAGTTCATTACAGCAATTTAAAAAAAAAAAAAAAAGGAAAACACAACCAAAACTCTTAAGTACATATTTTTTCACTCCATTCACTCCTCTCCTTCACTCGAGGCGAGATCTCCTTCCTCAATCCCCTCATCTAGGGGGGTCTGGGCTACGTCGTCCTCATCGATTCTAACGCCACTGAAGTCTAAGTCTAGGAACAGCTCTTTTGCTTTACGCTTGAACATCTTCCACCCGCTGTCCCAGAACTCAGCTATCTCGTGCTTGTAGAAGTTCGACCGCTGGAAGCTCTCAATAACTTCTGCTTCAGTCCTGTCCCCAACAGTCGCCCCCGACGTGCCCGCCCCCTCAGCCACCTCCCTCGCCAAGTTGCTGGCGACCGCAGCATCAATTGCCATCTGAAATTTAGTAGACCCCTTGAATTGTTCTACTGCTGCGACACATAGATCGGGGTATGCTGCCCTTTCAGAGGCTGCCTTGGTTCTTTCTTCCTCCAACTCCTTCTGCAACCTCGCCTTCTCCTCCATTGCTTTCGCCCGCTCATCTTTCAGCTCCTTCTACAGCCCAGCAATCTTCAGGTTTGCTTCATCCTTCTCTTTGATCTGCTGGGCGCGCAGATCTTCATTACTGGTCATAGCCTCCTCAAACCGCTCGATGGCAACTGCGCAGCTCTTTTCAGCATTTTCCACCCTTTTCTGCTCGCCAGCAAGCTGGAACTCGAGCAACACTACGTTACGACGCTCATCCTCTAACTCGAACTAGGCCGCGAGCAGCTCAGCACCCACTCGAGTGGCAATATTACGCTGCAAAATCGCCAACACTTCAATTTTCCTTACCTTCTGAGCCTCCTCCACCTCCCTAGTGCAGGCACTTAGCGTAGCTTTCTTCCAGCCTGCACTCTCCTTCTTGAAACTTGCAAGTTGAACCTTCGTTTCCTCCAACTTGGCCTTCGTAGCCGCCGCCTTTCTCAGCAAAGCCCCTTTAGGGTAGTTGCCTCCATCTGGGCAGAGCACAACCCCCTTAGCAGCTCCGCCTCATTGAACCTGGCTGTAGAACGCACGACTCCTTCGTCCACCACCCCCAAAAGAAGATCCGCTGCTGTCCTAGCTGGGCCTTCTTCTCCCTCCAGTCGCCCAGAAGCTACTGGAGCATGGTAGATGGCATACTTTGGCCTCACTCTCCCTCCTTGAGGCGTAGGACCCCCCTGAGGCTGTTCCTCTCCCCTTGCCTCAGGGCCAGTTGCCCCACCTTCTACTTGAATTTCAAGGGCGACCTCTGCGACCTCCGAGGCGATCTCCACCACTCTGGGACGACCTCCATGACCTCCGAGGCGACCGCCACCATTTCTAGGGCAACCACCCTTCCTGGGGTCTGTCCCACTCCCCCCTCCTCTGCCTCCTTAGCCATAAGGGTCTCCTCTGCTGTCACTTCCCTCCTCCTCTTCAAGGCAGGCTCCTCCTCACCCGTCCTCACCTTTCTCTTTTTCTTCTTCCCCACATCCTCCATCTCCATCTCCTTGTTGGCCCTCTGCTTCAAAGGATTAATTGGGGGCGGTTGTGGCTCAGATTCACCTAAGTCTTTTTTCCCCAGCGATTTGGGGCGCCATCGGATCCTCTCCCGCGCGATCGGCTTCGGCGGCTGGTCTGCCTGCGACTCCTTGAATTTGCTGGCCTTGGCGAGAATGGACCTATCCTCCACCTCTTGCACCTTCCTTCTCGCCTCTAATTCCGCCGGTTCCAAGTCCCCACCGCTCGGCTGAGGGTCCAACCCCGTAGTAAACAAGGCCGAAGGTTGAACGAGTTCGTCCCACCTGACTCCCTCATTCTCCCTCCATACCTTCACATTCTTTACTCTCTCCTTTGCTGCTGCCCCCAATTTTGGCTCCACAGATTTAGTGGGCACTCTCCACATCGTGCGCACCTCAACCTCTCCATTCGCGGAAAAGTAGAACCACCGTGGCCTCCACCCCTTAATTGATGACGGCAAACCAGTCACCAGACCCCTCCCTGCCGCCGCCTGCAACGTCACCCATGTCTCTTGCTGTCCTGAGGCCTTATAACACGTGAAAAACTCATCCACCGTCATAGCCGCCCCTTCGTTCGCCTTCTGCCACGCGCTTGCACAGGCCAGTATAATCTTCCACACGTTGGGCATTAGTTGGCCCAGCGCCACCTCCAATAGGTTTAGGACATCTACCACCACTTGCGGAAGTGGCAGCCTCAGTCCCCCCTTCAATGCTTTCTCGTAAAGGGCAAACTACCCCGGCCGGGCGTCGGATGGCCTCTTTGTTGACGTCGGCAATAGTAGCTCTATTTCGGCGAGAACCTGGTATTTTTCATGCATACCCTCCAATTCCACCGCAGTCACCTTCGATTTGTCAGCCTTCGTGTGCCAGTGATCTGGTTCCGCCTGACTGATTGGCTTCGGAGCCGCCATCATGGTAGAAGAATGAGATCGTACCGCCGGCTCCCCCACCCTCTCCATTTGCCTCTCCGTTTTGTACTGCTCCGCCAACTCCACCGCGTTGTCATCCCCAAGTGGATCAACCCTGGTGGTTCTAGCTTCTTGTTGGGCCATTTCTGTGGTGTGTCTATGAATCGCTTCGGACACAGGTGCAAGGAAATTCAAAAAATGTCGCAAGGGTGTATCACTTGCAACAAAGGAGTCTACACTTGGAATGTTTTGATTTTTCGAAAAAAGGTAGGTAAAACGTATAATCCCAAAAGCCCAAAATTTCCCTATATTCCAAGGGTCGCAATTAATTTTCGCCAGTTTGAAAAATTTTCAACATTCTGCCAAAACTGTCTTTTCAACACCCATTATGACCCATTGTTTCACTTCTAGACCAACGCCTAACCTCCCCTCACCACAAGATGCTGCCACGTGTACGACCACGATTCACTGCCCCCGTTCCCTACCTTTTCTTTTCCACTTCAAGTCATCATGTGACCCGCCTCCTCTCGAGCCCCGCACCCCGCCACCTCACCCTTCGCGGTCGGCCCTCCTCATGGTCGGTCCCTCCACTCGACTACTCTTCGCGGTCGGCCCTCCTCATGGTCGGTCCCCCTACTCAGTTTCCCTTCACGGTCGGCCCTCCTCATGATCGGTCCCTCCACTCGACTACCCTTCGCGGTCGACCCTCCTCATGGTCGGTCCCCCCACTCGGTTACCCTTCGCAGTCGGCCCTCCTCGCGGCGGGTCCCTCCACTCGGCCACTTCTGATCGGTCGTTCCTTCCACTCGACCTTCAACTCCCATCTTCCTCATTATTCCCTTCGTTGGGCTAAAGTTGCACTTGAGAATGGGGGACTACGGACGTGGGTAGGCCCATAAAGGCCATAACCCACTATGAACAACCCAAGCCTACCACTTAGGGCCCAATACATAACCCAATTGATAAGGCCCAGCACAGCTGGAAGTCAATATGACATGAAAGACCAATGATATTTAGATACGTGGCAGGTAAAGGACAAGCCACCTCAGCAGACAAAGATCTACAAAGTTATTGCCACTGCACATCACCATTAATGCAGCCCCTCACAGCATTTATTACGACAACACCCTTCTGTCGGGACAATACGCCTTCACCTTGAACAAGGTAAGCTACAGCATAGACTTTTGGCCAAGGTGACAGGTCGGACGGGACAATGAAATGATTACCAAAGGATATAAGCAGACGTTGAAGACAAGAAGAAGGTTAAGTTCTCTATTTCTATTTAATATCTCTACATTCCACTTCTCTCTCTCTAACTTGCTCGTCGGAGGGTTCGCTGGGGAACACCCCGTTCCCCGTTGAACTCTTGTGCAGGTTCTCAGGTAGGCTTGACCACTCGAATATTGGTTCGAGAAACGTGAATCAGTTCGACCCATTCTATTAAAAATCTATCACATCATAACTGTATCATTATATATATAACTATATCATTAATCCATATCACTGTAAAAATGATAGAACTCGCCTAAAAAGATCTCAAACATTATCCTTAAAATAACGAAACAAAACAGAGTTTATGAATTCGGATAATACCAAACTTTTCTCTCCGACCATCTTTAAGAGCGCCGGTTTGAAAGAAGCCTGCGCCTTTTTGGAATGTCCCATGTATATGCATACTTTTGACCACAAGCATATAATAAAGTGTCACGTTTTTTAAGTGCCCACATAAATCTATTTGACGTGTCCAAATCAAATGAGCATTTTCATATTCTTTAATATATTTTATTAATTTTTAGGTTTTATTTTAGATTTAAAAAGATAATTTAAATTATTTATTTTATAAATCTCATAATAAAAATTATTTATATAAAAAATCAATTTCAAATTTCATATAAATACATAAATAAATCAAATTTAAGTTTAAACTAATAATTACTAAACATTTAAACAAATAAAATATAATTTATACATATATTTAATAATATCTAATAGTATTAATTTTTTTTACATAATTCATCTAAATTAGCAAGATTATGAAATAAATAATTTAAATTATAAATATAAATGTAGACTAATGCCTAAAAATAAAATATAAAAAGTTAGGAAGATAAAGAGTATACCAAACCGAATACCCCAACATTACTTTCTGTCCCTTTTTTAAAGCATAGTTGGCGACTACATCCTTTTTTTGTCCACTGAGGCTGAAAAGCCATGGAACTTTGTCTGACCTCCTCCACATTATTCCGATCACCGGAACTCCCTCTTCTACGCCGGAAATCTGAGACACCGACCATTGTTCTCCGGCCAACTCGGCTGACGATCTCGGCGAAGAAAAGGACAGTGATCGAAGGAGTGAGCGACGAGATGAATGCGATCGCGTCTCAGAACTTGGACTTCGCTCCCGCTCGAAGGCGCGTTCGATCGGCCTTCAAGGATGCTCAACAACAGCTCGATCATTGCTTGTTTAAGGTTTTTCTCATTTGATTCCATTATTGAGACACTCTCTGATGAGTTTATTTGATTTGATTTTCCTTTGATTTGATGTGTTCACTTGACACAGTGTTTTCTTGTCTAATTTTTGGATTTTTATTGTTTTTGTTTGTTGTTTTGTGGATCTGTGTGTAGATGGCTCCTTCTGGGATCAGAGAAGATGAGGTATGCAATGCTCTACTTACTTCTGAGGTCTTATTTATGCATATGCTATCTGTGAATTTGGTTACAAATGTGTATATACATACCTGTTTGGTTGCTGAGAAATTTCCAAAAAGATCAAACAAAAAGGACTGATTTGTGTAACTTATTATATGAGCTGCTTATTAGGTGGCATAAATAACTTAAATAAGTTGAAAAAATTAATTATAGAAGTTGAGGACTTTCTTTGATTATAAGCTTTCAGCTTATCAGAAACTACGTGAGGTGAAATGTTTTCAAATTTCTCTCTCGAAGTCCCAAGAAAAAAAAAATTATATTTGCTCGCGTTGAGTTTTTATAATTTGTTTTTAACAAATTGCATATGTTTTTCTCTTTTGGGGGGCTGAAATAATTTTTGAAAATTTAAAAATATATTTTCTTAATTTTTTTGTTTGTCAAACTAGTTTTTAAGATTTCCCAAAAAAAAAAAAAATTCGAGTTCTGAAAACTCAAGCAAACAGACTGTAACTCTCTTTTGGGTCCCAAGAAAATACAACTGCTTGGCCGGTCATTTGAGATGATGCTAAGCTAAGTTGAATTTACTTTTTCGACAATGCTAGGTAGCTCAAATTTTTGTGGCTCAAATGGCTCAAATCTGTCAAAACGACGTCGTTTTGACAGATTTTGAGTGTAAAACGACGTCGTTTTGACAGATTTGAGCCATTTGAGCCACAAAAATTTGAGCTACCAAACATTTTCCTTACTTTTTATTTGGTGAAAGGTATAGTTACATAAAGCATAATTTGAAGTTATATTTTATTCTCCCTCCCCTAGTTTCTTAGCAACCAAATAGAAGCTAAGTTTGAGAAAGTAATGAAGTTGTTTTTCACTTGTTTTAATAGATGATGATTTTGTTCATGGGTTTTGTAGTGGTATGAGAGGAATTCAAAAGGTTTGGAAATTTTCTGCAAAAGCTGGTTGCCAAAACCAGGTGTTCGAATTAAAGGGGCTTTGTGTTTTTGTCATGGATATGGTGATACATGCACCTTCTTCTTTGAAGGTTTGTGATAAGATTTTTCAATAAAAGTTTTATTTGAATATAACACTTACCGTGAGGAAACTCTATCTGACATACAAAGTATTTTCAATTTCAGGTATTGCTAAGCATATTGCTGCTTCTGGTTATGGTGTTTATGCTATTGATCATCCGGGTTTCGGCTTATCTGAAGGGTTGCATGGTTACATCCCAAGCTTTGATGATATAGTTGACAATGTTATTGAACAGTATACACTAATCAAAGGTGCATCTTGTAAAGTAGTGCCTCTTAATAAGATCACGGCCATAACCTCCATTTCTAATTAGCCACACTACATATCACAAACCTCATCTTCATTTGTGTAGCTCACTACCTTATGTTTTATTTTTTATTTTTAATTTTAATCAATTTTTATCTCAAACAAAATGATCATGATTCTTATAAATTTGAAGCAACTCTTGTTAAATCATTCAAAATGAGCATTTGAGATCAGGCCTTCCGAGGAATTTCATTTCCCATCCAATATTGAGTTATTTTGGTTAGTTTTGCTTATGTAATTCTATTGCTGATTGCAGGAAGACCAGAAGTGAGAGGGTTACCCCGCTTTATATTGGGCCAATCCATGGGAGGAGCTGTGGCTCTCAAAGTTCATCTGAAGGAACCACGGGAATGGGATGGAGTTGTCCTTGTAGCCCCAATGTGTAAGGTAAGCCAATCTAGTAGTTATCAGATAAACCATAATTAATGTATTGAACTTTGTGAATTTTTATGAGAATTATCAATACATAGATTTATAGTTCAACAATTCCAACATGTGCATCCTTCCTTTCAGAGGTTCTATTTATATACGAGATCATGTTGCCAATCTCTTTGACTTTCATAGACATTCAAATTTCTTGAAATTTGAAGTTCCAGCCGTTCTTCTATTCAGATTTCCCGGTTTTTTAATGAATGAGCTTGATATCGTAATATACTTTTTATATCTCCGAAGTTCTAACATTGATGGATCTAGAACCTTAACTGAAACTCCTTGCGGGTATAAACATTTAAATTTAGAGTACGGTCAATTAAATTTGGAGTCCGACTATAAGATGAAATTTGGTTTCCTATGCTCCATTTGCATTAATCAAGTGTATTTTATATCTTCAACAATCGCCATATATCGGATCATTCAATGATGGTTAGACAGTGGGCCCTCTGCATCAACTGACTTCAAATGAACTTTGCTTTTCATATCATCATTAACGATTTATTCAAGTATTCTATACAGAACCTGAGCAATCAAAGTTTGTATTTGCAACAATTTTCATTTAACCAAAAAATAAAATTGCTGACCTTGATTTGCTGCTAAGATTTCAGAGGATGTGACACCGCCAGAAGCTGTTGTAAAGATCATCAGACTTTTCTCTAAAGTTATGCCGAAAGCCAAGCTTGTACCCCAGAAAGATCTAGCTGAGCTGGCATTCAGAGAGTTGAATAAAAGGAAAATGGTTTGTTCTTCATTTACTCTCTTCATGTGGATATATATATATATATATATGTGATTATAATTGCCAAAGGAAACCTGTTTTTCGCTTAAAGTTTGAGAAGACACTTTTAACATTTTCTGAAATGATTAGTATATATTCTCCTTGATCTTTAAAACCAATTGTGAACATCTTAAAGACTGGCACTGGAGCCTGGTTATATGGTTTGAAACCCACCACAAGCATGTCACATGTCCACAGTGGAGTGGTCCTGAACAGAAACAAGTTCCTTTTAAATTGGTGTCATTGCTTTTACTTGATTTTTCCTTCTTCAAGTCTATGAGTGGAAAATATTGCTTTCTTCTATTTGAATGGTCACACCCTGGAATTCCAGGATCTTAAAATAGTCATTAATTAATCAAATAGAAGGAATAGTACAAGAAATGCATTCCAAAAGCCCATTCTTTTTCTTTTCCCCTCATTTTGACAGAAATCCAGAAAATTTTTGTGAAGATTCTGATAGTCAATTGACTTGATGATATAAGTTCTTATGTGGAAACTTAATCTAGAATATGAAGGGAATAATTTGAACTTGGCTTATATTAATGTCACCTTCTTGACAAAAGTAGTACAACCTTGATGCAACTTTAGACGATACAGAAAAAGAAGTGAAGGGAATAATTGGTGACTATATCAGTCGTCTTACTGTTTACCCACTAGATGAGGTAATCATGCCTCTGCAAAAGTTATATATATCACTTCTCTTGTATATATATATATATTTAGCATTTTCTTTATACCTTTAATGTTGTAATTGAATCTCTTGATTCACAATTTCATTTGATTTGTGATTCATAGGATTGAGATTTTGATTATGGATTCAAATCTTTATTTGACAAATATACATTCAGACAAGCTTAAATTTGAACTTTACACCTATCTGAGCCTGCTTTAGAATCAGTATTTCTAGCCTTCAATGAATAATCATTCTCCTTCTGTTCTATAGTCCTTTTTTTCTTCTTGAATAGCTGACACCTGTTAATTCTGATACAGTTTACTCGTAATCGAAAAAGCTTGCAATACCACTATGTAATTTTTACATGAGGGAGCCTCCTTCAAAATGAATGGTTTTCATGGAACTAAATGACAATATGTCCAATGATACTAGTTCTCTAATTGGGTTTCACACTTTCTTATTAAAAAAAAAAAAAAAAAAGACAATGTCCAATTAGTACATGTTAATGTGTGTTTGAGAGGGGAAAGATTGGGTACACACACATAACTTTTGACATAGTACACGAAGTGGTTTTTCCTAGACTTGAATCCATAACCTCAAAGTTCTTATGAATAAATTTATTTTTAAGCAAAGATTTGTGAAACGTATTCCTTGCTTTGTTTCTTAGGCTCCATACAATGTGATCTGTTACAATCATCCAATGCGCTTAAAGACTGCTGTGGAGCTTTTGAATACTACGAAGCATATTGAATCACATGTAGAGAAGGTGAGATTACATTTAAGTTTCTTTTTTTGTCCAATCCTTCTCAAAATAATGCATTATTCCTTTGTTATCACTGGATTCGCTGAAATTGGTCTTGCTAACAAATGCTACTGGAGCTTAAAACACGAGACACTTTCAATTTTTTCAGAACATTTTTCACTAATTTCATTACACTTCTAACCTTTTTCACCTATTTCCAAAACACTTTTTATACGCAGGTTTCATCTCCATTGCTGATTCTTCATGGGGCTTCTGATAAACTAACAGATCCGTTAGTGAGCCAGTTTCTTTATGAGAAGGCTTCAAGCAAGGACAAAACCCTAAAGATCTATGAACAAGGTTTTCACTGCATTCTTGAAGGGGAACCCGATGACAGAATATTTACTGTACTTAATGATATTATCGCATGGCTTGATTCCCGGTGCTCCATTAAATAAAAGAGGTCAATTCATTTTTCGCCACACACAATTTCCTTTGTTGATGTAATTCCTTTCCTTTCCACCGTGTTTTTTTGCCCTTCCTTCTCCTCTCATTCTTCCTTCCGGTAGTGTCTTTGCTGCTTTTCTATTGTTTAGAATGTTAGGCTCAATAAATTCACTCCAAACTGAGTACAAGACTTGAACAGGGATTTTTATGTCTTTGACATTAATTTTAAGCAGTATATATATCTGATTAGTTTTTGTGTGTTTTCTGCTTTGATCTTCAAAAAATTTCGATTTTTTTTGAAGACGTCCAGCTTTGTTTAAATTTTTTCAGAAACTGCTGCAATTATTATCTGGAACATAAATAAATTTGAAAAAAATGCTATATAAATTAACAAACTTGAATTGTGTTTTGGGAACAAATTTGGCACCCAAGGATCAGAGTTTGACATTTAAAATAGGATCCAATTGGATAATATGATATGAATGACTCAAGTAATTAAAGAAAATTTTGTAAAATTCTTTAGAACGTGTATCATTACTCGTACATTTTTCATCAAGTTTCCTCAGATTCTGTAGGCTTTTTTATTTTTATTATTTTTTTATTTTTTACAACAAACATTAAACATGTTTATATTTAATTATAGTAAAAACAAAAATAAAAGGTATATTTAGAACACATGTTTCAAAAACTTAATTTGAAAACAAAAGAGAGGAAGCATAAAGAATTAGTTATGAGTGTAAGGTGGTGGTCATTGGTTGTCGATGGTTGCAGGGTGGTTAGAAATGGGGGACTAGCAGACGGCAACGAGAATCGTGGCTAGAGGTGAGGCGAAGCTCAACACCTGCATAATGAGAGAGATTCAACTACCATGGCGGGTGGCAATATTGATAGGTTACTAATAATAATATATGAAAAATGTTAGGGATTTCAAATGTTTTTTCAAATATCTCAAATGAGTGTGTGGGTTTTATGTGAATTTCATATCTATGTGAGACATTTAGTAGAATATTTGATAAATATTTAGACCCTAGTATTACTCATAATATATTCATATTGATGTGTTGTGGTTTACCTGCACTAACCACTATAACATGCATTCGTTGTCTAACATACAAGAATGTTTTTATTTAAAAACAAAAATATTAACGTTGTGGCCCAAGGCGTAATTACTTTTTATTAAAAGAAAATAGTACAGCACATGTAAAGGGGTGTTGGATCGATGACAACTAAGGTAGTCGTCAATGCCAACATTGTTGAATGGAGGTGTTTTTGTTTTTGTTTTTGTTTTTTTTTTGATAATTGTGTTTCATGTTTTTAAACAAAAATGATGAGAAGTTTGAATTTGATCTTTTTAGTAATTAAAAAAATAATTTAATCCTATTTTGTAATCAACTATTCTGTTAATTTATTTATTGATTTATTTATGTTTCCGAGAATTAAAAACAATTTCAAAAGTAATGAAACCATGTGAAATACTAAAAGTTTGGTGGTATAATTTTTATATGAGAACATAGTATAATAAATATTGTTTAGAAGCTAACAATATGATTTTGTCTCTAAAATCATGTGAAATGCTAGGCAAGTTGTGTGTACACATGTATCCCATGATTAAGGCTTCAACAATGCTCTCAAACAGGGGAAAAAAAAAATTTCAACATGCTCTGCATTTCAAAAAATTTATTAAAAAGGACTACAATAATTTAAAGTTCTAAAGAAAAAAAAAATTAAGAATAAAATGACTTTCAAAAAATGAAATATTTTAGTTTTTAACAGTGTCGTATTTTTAGCAAACGAATTGGATATTTAATGTTGAATTACTATTCTTTTGATTTTGAGATCAAAATTTGTTTAAAAAAGTAAACTTTTTTTGCACCAAATTGTTTTGTTCTTAAAAGTACATTTATTATGAATATTTTTGAAATTTTACTATAAGTTTTTTTTTTTTTTTCCCTAGAGAGGACCATTTAGCGACGACCTTTGCAACGATATGAATTGATCTCCTAATATTTATTGTAACAAAATTTTCATTTTTAGAAATAAAAAAGTTTGTTTCCTAAAACTTCTTATATGTAGTGAAACTTACAGCAATTGACCACATTGATTCTGAAAGTGACTCACATCACACTAATTTTAAATCTACACAATACACCTCAAATTTCTAATTACATAGCATTTTTTTTTAAGATCAGAATCTCTACAATAATCTAGTGGTAATCCAATGGTCTATGTTTAAAGTTAAAACAAAACTTTATTACTATAGGAGGTGTGATTTTAGTGTCATTTTATTTCACTTTTAACTCAAATAGTAAGATATGTTAATAAACTACATAATTCAATGATTTGTGTTGAAATTATATGAACATTAAAAAACCACACTTTAAATACAACATAATTTTGCTTTAACTGTAAATGTAAATCATTGAACATCACAACAAAAACATTGCAGAGAAATTATTGCGTACAATCTTGATTCATTTTAGACTATTTATTTCACCAAAAATGCAAACCATCCACCTCTCTTTAGTGGGCTTGATTGATTGAACAAATGCAAACCTTTGGCCCAGTTTTAAAACTTCTTCACACATGGAATTCCCCTTAAAACTGATTCAGCTTGTTATAAAATCATTTTGGTTGTGTAAACCATAAACTTAGATAGAAATTTGTATTAAAAATAAAAAGAAAGGAAAGGAAATTATGATGAAATACAATATTTTCATATTTTTCTTCACTTTTTTTTTTTTTTTTTTTGCCCTTTCCAAATCTTTTCTCAAAATACAACGTTTTGGATTTACAATTGAATTTATGAAGGAATAAAGAAAAGGAATCAATGTTTGAATCTTGAATTTGTTTACGCTTTCCTTATCTATTTTCCTTCAAAAATCTCTTTGCAAATGTAAGATTAAAACATGGATTGAAATTTTTTTTAAAAAAGAAAAAAAAAATCATGAATAATTTGTAAATGGAATTTCATGGGCCTTGACAGATTTGTAATGCATGAGATTAACAGAAGTCCCCCTTTTATATGGATTTCATTTTAAGCCCATGTTATATCCATTTCATGTTTGGAGGGCCTCAAAAGGCCTTATTACAAGACTGCTTTGAGAATGAGTTTACTTGGCCCATTTTTGGAGGGCCTCTCAAAGATTTTATGAACACTATCCACTATGGATTTTCCCTATCCTAGCCCGTCTGCCCCGCCTTCGGGCCTTGCGAGCTCACACCAAAAATTGGGCCAAGCCGAGCTGAGCCACTCTTGGGATATCGCAGCCCAAGTGGCGGAGGGACGTTGGGTCGAGCGGGTCACGTACCCCCCTTGACTTTTCAAATTTTTTTTTTTTTGGTTTGGTCTTGCTTACACAGTGCCCCGCTACATAGACCTCCAAATGCATCCCAATACACACTGACACCACACAACAGACCCTGTTTTTTTTTTTTGAATCTCAATCCCAATCAAACACTGACACACAATTATTATTATTTTTTTTTATGAGTACACACAACTCTAATTACGGTAAGGCTAAAATCTTAAAAGTGTATAAAATTCTTTATTTATTTACAATACTTGTTAAGTATTTTTGTATTTGCTTTGTCTCTTTTTGTTGCTTTGCAATTTACCGACTCGCGATTCAGCAAATTAGGATCACATAACACAGATTTGGGACTACACTACAACCTTAGTATCTTCTCTTCATTGTTTACAAGTTACTTTATTTTTATTTTTTTTACTTTTAAATAAAAATTATGAATTGTGAGTATTAATTTATAGTTGTTTGTTAAGTTTTAATTTGTAAATTTTTTTTATTTGTTATTATTTATGTTAAAATAAGAGATTTTGATATGCTAAAACTATGAATCTTAATTGGTGGTGATTTATATTAGAATTAGGGATTTTAGTTTGTTGTTATTTGTGCCAAAATTAAAAATATTAATTTGCAGTGATTAATATTTAAATTAGGGATTATAATTTGTTATATTTGTACTAAAATTAGAAATTTTGAATTGTTGTGATTTGTGCTAAATTTAATTTAATTTTTTGATTTGTATTAAAATTGGAGATTTTGATTTGTTGGGGTTTGTGATTTTGATTATGAATTTTTATTTTTATTTTTATTTTTTTCAAACAGTCATGGAAAAATATTTCAAAAGAAAATCAAAGTTGGAATCATCTCTTCCTCAAGAAAAAGATGATAATTATTCTTCCGTAAACAAAGTCGCATAGAAATCAATTTAGCAGACCTTCCTGCAGATCCAGGTGCCCCTCTATATTAAATTCCTGGCTCCGCCACAAAGCCCAAGCCCTATGAAAATTCAAGCCTTGGGTCTGGGGTGGGCTAGACTGGGCTAAACAATTTTTTACTTATTTTTTTAATATTTTTTTTACTAAAATAGCTTTAAAATAAAAATAAGGTTGGGCCTCGGGTCAGCCAAGAGGACCGAGCTTTGGTTGGGCTTCAGAATAGGCTTGGAGCGGGTCAGCGAGCCAAGCCAAACGGCCTAAGCCCAACAAAAAAAATACACAGCCCAAGCCTGAGGGTTCGCTAGGGGCTCAAGCCTGCCTGCCTGCCTGGGCTTAGTCGGACTGCAGACGAGCTTCAGGTGGATTTCGGACTGGGGAGCATTTTTACACCCCTCTACTAGGGGTAGGCACAGGTCGATCGTGCCCACGGAACCTCCAATCTACTATCCGTCTGCCAAATTAATAAATTGAAGAAAATCAATTCACATCCGTTTACCAATCTAGCGGATGTGGATTGAGCGGATTAGCGAATAGATGCGAATCGTTTTGACGGTTTAAAATTTTACTAATTGTCAATATAATTCAACGTGTGCACTTCCTCAAAAAAAAAAAAGTCAATGATTTAAAAAAGTATTACAATCACTGCATGACTCATCTAAAGAAAAAAGTTAAAACTTTAGAATATTATAATCACTACATGCCTCATCAACATATTACAATCACAATATACTTCATCCACATAAAATATTACAATCTGTAATTCTTAAAATATAAAAACAATTCAAACCACCAAAACCATGAACAGAGCAATAATAGAGATTGTGTACCTCTGTATTGTTATATCTATATCTGTTTTTAAAAACAAAAACCAACCAACATATATCATCTTTTTTATTTATTATTTTTAGAATTAGATTTAAAAATCCAAAAATATAGATAAATAAAACATTTATTTTTTTTAATTCAAAAAATATATTTAAGTTGAAAACTCTTTTTCAACAGAATATTTAAACTATTTTTCAATTG